ATTCCCACGAGCACCGAAGAAGAGTCGAGCAGTGGGCGGACAAATCGTGCCCCCGCGGGTGAAAGTCGCCCTGTCACTGCCCTGACCCGCGGGTCCCCTACAGTCGGGGCCTTGACTTTGGACGCCCGAAATGGGTACCGAAAGAATGGGTACAATGCCTAACAACAAATGTTGTCCCAAACCAACAACGGCCGCTGTTGGGCAGGCGGCCTCCTCTCTCGAATGGACACAGGCCGCGGCGGCGTGGACAGCGAGCCCTGTTCAAAATTGACAAGATCCGCTGTTGGGCATTGTACCCATTCTTTCAGTACCCATTTCGTGCGTGCAGATTGACCTAAGGAACCCAACATAAGGAACGAGGCTCCTTTTTTCCATAAGTTAAGCTTCGGTTTCCCATCGAAAACATAAGGAAAACCCGAGGCAAGCTGCGAAACACGTAAGGAACACGGAGCCCCTCCCCAACGAAAAGGGCTCCTTCTTCAGGGCCCCGACTGTACGTGCCAACTGTTGGAGGCGAGCCTGCGCGAGCCCCAACGGCCGGCCACGGGGGAAACGCAGATGTCGGACAGGGCTGAACCTAAACGGTGTTTTTCGTTTTCGTTTTGTGTTCGTCTTCCTCGCTTTCGTCTCGAATCCGCCTTCACCGCAAAACGAAGTCGAGACGAAAGCGGCCCACGAAATCACAAAAAAAAACACCGTTTAGGTCCAGCCCTGATGTCGGATGTCGTGACAGGCCTTGCACGCGACAGCGCAGAAGAGCGCGCAACGGACAAGAGGGCCTCCTCCACGGGCAGAGGGAGCGGGCGCCAGTGGCACGGTCTTGACATGCCATCACCGATGGCAAAAAATCATTGGGGAGGCGATGGAAAGCGATCGCAATCTCGTGAAACAGATGGCACTCTACAGTCGGACTCGATTGGAGAGGGCACGCGAGAGGACACACGAGACCCTTCCGAGGGCCACGCTGCCGCAGAAGTGCAGGAGGCATGGGTCGCAAGACACAGGACACGAGGGTACCCCTGATCTGGCAGGGCCGGCCTGCTAATCCGGGCCGCCTGTACGATATGCCAAACGTGGTCACCCCTAGGCATTCGCCGAGCAATGCACGAACTGGCTCTTCCAGATCGCCCACAGGGGCACCAGTAGGGGGCCACATGCGAACCCTACCCCTACCCACCACGATTTCTGGGGGGGGGGATGGGGTTCACTTCGGTCGGGAGCTCCCGAGCGAAGTGAACCCCACCCCACCCCTCAGAAATCGTGGGGGTAGGGGTAGGGTCCGCATGTGGCCCCCTAACCAAGAGTCCGTGAGGGTCCGCAGCAAGGGGGAAAGGGGAGCAGACGGGGAGGCGAGGAGCAATGTGGCAGAACATGGTGCTGACGAGACTGCCTTCCTCGTCGGCTGGCGGCACGGCTCCACTGAAGAGCTGCGCCCGTCTCCTGCAAATCGCACCGCACGGGTCGTGCGCAAGCGATGCGGGATACCGTTCAACTTGGTGCTGCAAATGCCTGTTCTCGGAGGGAAGCGCGGGGAGGACGGTCAGACTCGTGTAATTGTCAACCATGCCCCGGAAAAGAGATTCCCTCCACAGGGGATGGCTCCTCCAAGCCACCACGCATTCCCAATCATCTTCAAAGTCAGCAAACAGAGTCATGTTATCCTGGAAGGCTCTGGAACGACCAGCGGCTCTAAACATGGCAGCCTGGCCAGCGTGCTCCAGAGACCGCGCTCGGATAGGAAAGCCAAGGGAGCGGCGGGAGCAGAGGAGGGAGGAGGGCATGGCGTTCCAGGGTGCGCACACGGCACGCTGCAGCGCCTCGCGCTCGATGCGCACCCCCACGGGACTGACAGGGGAGAGCTGGGAGACATGCGTCCACGCTGACGGGGCCGACATGTCATAATGGCTGAGGGTTTTCTCAAGTCCGAGGCCAAGCGCGCGCACCTGTTGCACGCGGGATTGATACTTGGTCAGGGGGGTGCGCCAAATATCAGGGGGACGCAAGACCTGGGTACAGGGGACTCGGAAATCCCCGACGAGGTCGTCAAAAAAATGACGAGGCCGAGCCTGCATTTTGACGAGGCCTCCCGCTGCAGACATCCCACGAAACTCCTCCTCGTCAAAATCCGAGGCGCGGTCGTCAAAAAACGGTGGCGAACCCGAGTCCCGGCAAACCCAGGTCTTACGCTCCTCCGAAAATATCGGACCGACACCCGTACCCGAGGACCACCCCAAGGTAACGGTCATTCGAAGAAACCACAACGGCCACTTCGGGGTACCCGTGCCGCGCCATCTCTTGACAGAAGGCTTCGGGGGAGAGGTCACCGAGGAGAACAACGACGGTCTTGGCGAGGCCGAGTCCAGCGCCAGCCATGGCCCATATCCCCAAGGATATGGTGAGGCTCGCAACGATATCCCCGGCCGATAGGCCAACGTCGTCGGCAAAAGCTCCAAATGCGGCGAACGAGACGGGCAAGCGAGACGCGTGCATGCGGAGGACGCTATCTATGCAAAGAGCGACAAGGCTCCAGGAGAGCGGGCAGCCCTGCTTATTCCCCGCCCTACTGAAAAGCAAATCCCAACGCATCCCCTATACCTCACCTCAATCCAGACGTCCCGGTAGAGCGCCCGGATGGCCTCGATCACGTGCGCGGGAACCTCCAGGACCTCCAGAACCCAAAAGATGGCGCCGTGGAGAAGGGACGGGAAGGCGGCGCGCACGTCGAAAGAAGGCCACTCCAGACTTGGCCATGCCGTGCTGGCAAAGCCAGTGGAGCGCCTTGGCCTCCAAATCGACGATGTTGTCGGTAAAATTCCTCCCCGGTACAAAGCCTCAATGTTGCTGCGCGAACGTGACCGTGCAGATTTATGACAGCGGTTGATTGATGGAGGTGGCGATGGCCTTGTTGGAGGTGTTGGAGAGGGTGATTGGGCTAGTCTTCTTGGCGACCCGCATAAGCAGAACCTCGTCCCCAAGACAATCCCCTTTGGGCAAGAAAATCGCTGCACCCCAATTGAACCGATCCGGAGAAACGCCGCGGACCATAAGCTCAGTGCACGTTAC